ACTGGGTTCGCACAGGGTCAAGTTCAACCCAGGTTGAGAGGCTCTATAGTGTCAAAAAGGGCTTTAGTGCCGTGAAGTTAGGAGTTATATTCAAACTTGTCTTGTTATTGGTCTGTGACTAGTCATCATGTCAGCTTTATGACCAAGATCTTATGGCATTCTGCAAGATGTAAGCATTTGTATGGAATCTTTTCCTTGGGGTCGGTTGTAATGAAGCACTACAGCACTTTAGGTTTAGGCAAGGACATGACCAAAACATTACTTGTATCTTGCGGGTTTTTTACTCTCTAAACCATGCTTTGGTGACTTCTTTCATAGCAGAGTCTGGACCCTTGGCACAGTATGGTCAATCGTTTGTGCGTACAGCAAAACAAGAACAAAATATCTAACTGAATTTATAAGTCCCCCTCTCCCCCCAGAAAAGATATATATTTGTTTACAGTGATATTAAAGCAAGAATTATCCAATCTCCAGTCATCCCGGATTTCATAAATAACGCATTAGCAGTACAGCCTGTTAAGGCATAGACATAATGTACATGTATATATTTATGTATAGAAGGCAATTCCGATCTAACTACATGTACATAGCATCAAATCACAACAATTTTAATCCTGTTTTCTATTTTTTTTTTTTACAATAATCTACAACGGAGTGCTGTGGGGACATGTCCTGGCCCATGGCCCATACACATGGACCACACCTTTAGACCACACCCATGGACCAACCCCATGGACTACACCTTTAGACCACACCATGGACCACACCTTTAGACCACACCCAATGGGCCACACCCAATGGGCCACACCCAGTGGGCCACACCCAATGGGACACACCCAATGGGACACACCCAATGGGCCACACCCAGTGGGCCACACCCAGTGGGCCGCACCCAATGGGCACACCCAATGGGACACACCCATGTACAATACTTTGGGACCACAAACAGACCACACCCAATGGACCAGACCCTCGGACCACACCCTCGGACCACACCCTCAGACCTTGCCTAATGGACCATACCTGCATAGACCACGCCCATAGACCACGCCTATACCCATAGACCACGCCCATGAACCACACCCAATGAGCCCTCTTACATTAACGCGTGACAAAGTTGGGATTGGTGTAGGTGAAGCCGTCAAACTCGGTCTGGTCTAGATTCATGATGAAGAGTTTGTCCGTTGGGGTCAGCACTGGCTCCTCGCGCGTGAACTCCTTGTCGAAGTTACTGACGTCGTGCGACCCTTTCTGTTGGTGTTAGCGAGGGGAACAGGACCGTGGGAAGGGGGGTGGGAAGAAATCAAAGAGACGGGGAAAACGTTGACGCCAAGAGGGGGAATGTGATGTCAGAAATGGGTCAGGTGGGAAAAAGAAGTTTCATTAGTAATTTGTTTTCATTATTTTCACTACTTATAATTTAAGCAATATTAGACAAATATTATGATATACATTCATGTGAGAGTATACAAATGCATGTCCAGTACACTGCGATCAAGAAGGCAGGAAGCATGGGCTAGCGTCAAATGATGTGACCCACTTTCCCAAAACTAGAATAAAGAAGGCAATGTCGATTTTTTTTTTCCCTGATTTTTTTTATTCAAGTTTTGTACCACTAACATGCCATATTTTGGTGCCTCAAAATAGCCACTCTCTGTGGTTTTTCTATCGCTCATGTGTTTACAGAACACTTTAGCAGATATAGACACAATTGTGCAATCGTCCACTTCTGTGTGCCTCAATTGCAAGAGTAACAGTTTGAAGCTGAGAGATTTTCCCAGCGATTTTGGGAACAGTGGGTCACAGAGTATTAGTTATATTGATTTGGTTCACCAAGAGTGTCCACATACTGTACATGCAGTTGCTGCTCCTTTAATTTAAACATTTAGCCATAATTCATTAATTTGGACAGCTCTAGCCATCTGAACAGGAAAACACAATATCCAAATAAGCTCAGGGATAAACAGAGTTCCCAGACCCCTTAAACCCATCTGCTTTTGGTAGATTTTTTACTGATTTTTCCAGTGAGCACAGGGTAAAACTTTACAATGAAATGTAGATAACCATGTCGTAGTTCCAGTTACATTTTGTTTTCTTCATGTTCTAGTGTTTTGCTTCTTCTGGTAATGCCTTAAGGCTGCATGTGTTTATACAACCTAACTGTATTCACACATTTTAGAGTCTTGGCAACAAGACTAAACTGTTTAATTCGTGAACACAGGCAAAGGGTATAGCCACTGTTGTAGTACTCGCACTCGTATTTGTACTCGAGTACATTTCTTGGTACTCGTACTCATGCTCACAAAAATGTACTCGTACTTGCAAGAAAAAAGTACCCGTATTCTCATTTGTACTCATTACAAAGTGCTTGTTCTCGTACTCTCGCAAATGTTTTCCCGCAAGAATTTAAAAAGATTTAAGAGCTTCATGCAGGAAAAGAACCAGTTTTCTACTGTTTTGGAGACCCCTGCATTTGTTTGATGCTTAGTTTGATAGCAAACTCCCTTCAAATTGTGGACGCATTGAAATATGCTCATACTCTCCGAAAATACTCGTACTCGTACTCAAGTACATTTTTTGGTGATTGTACTCAAGTACATTTTTTGGTACTCGTACTCATGGGAAATTGCCTGGTACTTGTAGTGTACTCGTACTCGTACTCATGGGAACAAATTGCCTGGTACTCGTACTCATACTCATGACAAAGTACTCGTACTCATTGGAACAAATTGCCTGGTACTCGTACTCATACTCATGACAAAGTACTCGTACTCATGGGAACAAATTGCCTGGTACTCATACTCATGACAAAGTACTCGTACTCATGGGAACAAATTGCCTGGTACTCATACTCATGACAAAGTACTCGTACTCATGGGAACAAATTGCCTGGTACTCATACTCATAACAAAGTACTCGTACTCATGGGAACAAATTGCCTGGTACTCGTACTCATGACAAAGAACTTGTACTTGAACTCATCAGAATGTTCTCGACCACAACACTGGTAATAGCCAGGGTTAACACGAAGAACTGAATAACATGTTGAAAAATCATGTAACTGAAACTCGGCAAAGGTGTAAAAATTGTTATTTCTGTTTAGATCTACAGTATAAATACAATGTCATCAAATGCCCAAATCTGCATGATCCTTTATACTGTATGGCAATTACTAAAATCTGGATATCAAAAACATCCACATGATTTGGTCCACACAATTCTATGATACTTTTAAATAGTGTGTTCCATGATTTTAATCAGTGATTTTGGCACCAAATGGAAACAATCTATTCCTTAGGAGCATAAAGGAACACCATCAAAATATACACAAGATCAATTCAAGATATAGAATGTTACTATTCTTTAGTACTGATAATTAACCTCTTAAAAAAAGTCCATCGGTTGGCAATTTAATTTTACACCACAGCAAAATTAATCTGTATATTTTGCACCAGTGCAATTGCATAAAATTAACAGCTAGATACAAATCTAAATATCCCCTGAATAAAAACCTAACACCATACCCGCAAAAAAACCCAGAAATAACTTCACAAATTCAAGTAACTAATAACACACACAAAATTATCGGTGTGTAGGAAACCGAGTTAGGTCATTTTTGGATACAACTTTGAAAATCTATCTCAGGGAGGCACCAAAAGAATAAAGTATTTGGGATTGATATGGAATGCAGTCCCAAGCTCATCCAGCTAAGCCTCTTTATATTTTCTTACTATTTTCCAGCTTAAAGCTTCTGACTCACTACTGGTTTTCAAACTTCAAACTATAAAACTTTAGAAAAAACAAAAACAATTGGGATAAAATATTATCAACAACTGTCACAAACGTCTGAGGTGGTTATATGTATTTCAGAGTATCGATAAACAAATAATGTTGACTGTCCCAAATTGAGACCAAGAACTGAAGCAGGCTTTTTGCCAGCTGTTCCTAATAATAAGGAGTCATCTTAATAAATATCCGGGATAATTGTTGGAAAGGTTTTTTCCGGAATGATTCCATTATATCAGGTATTTGTTGCAGAATTTCTGACTAATTTCAGTGGAAGAATCCCGCAATGAAGTTTTCAGCTTTTGTTCACAAACTGATAACTTCATTACGTGGAGATTTCGTGGAAATTGTTTAGAATCCTGCAACAAAAACGTAGCTCTTTTGTGGATACATTTGTGTGCAACTGATCCTAAATATTTACTGAAATGTCTCATAAGCCGAAATCCAACACTCTAAAGTGGAACCAATTTTCAAATTTTTTTCCCCCAATTTTTCCAGAGACCTCCACATAAAGTAAAATAAAATTTGCTTTTGCTGAGCAGTCTTGAATCAATCAATGCAAAATTCTCTGTCGAATTCTGGCAAGTTCATGGTCACAAAGTCAGCAGTGTTTTCAAATTTTCCAAAAACCAGTAATGTATCATAGCTTTAAGTTAGTTACATGTATGTACACTCCAATCATCAATGTCACGACTCTGCTTACATTATGCAAACAAATCCACGATTACCGTTGCAGAAAATTCTGTGCTGATGGTTAGCGTATATCGCAGGTTAGCAAGGAACTCTGGCTTATGCGCGCATATGTATATTCCATAACCGAGGATTATCTGCTTACAGGGTTAGCACACAATTTATGTTGTTACTGCTGTTAACACAGAATGGTGGTTGTAAGCGCGGAATTCTGTGGTTACCAGAGCCGTGAAATTGGGTCCAGCTTACATGCACTTGAAATCTTTCTGACCTAGTTACTTCTTCGTTCGTTTGCTGTCATTTTTAGGATGCTTTTAAGTTGACAAATGAACAGGAGGGCCAATTTCTCGGCGCTGCTAAGCACACAAATTTGATTAGCACAAAAAAAGTCTGGCTTATAAAAGCAGGTTACCAGCCAAAAATCTATGCGATGTATATTGCTCGTGATTAGTATTCAGCTGTTGTTTGCTTAGCATGAAAATCACATGGAGTTTTGGCTGGTAACCTGCTTTTATAAGCCAGACTTTTTTTGTGCCCAGCAAACTTGTGTGCTTAGCAGCACCGTGAAATTGGGCACATGTACATGAAATCTGTCTGACCTAGTTAACAATTCTTCGTTCGTTTGCTGTCATTTTTTAGGATGCTTTTAGGTTGACAACTGAACAAGTCAAGGGATGGGTTTTTATGGGACAACCATAAACATGCACCAACAGTTCAACATTCCACAAAGAAAATACATCATAGCATGGCAATGAACACTCATGCATGGTAGACAAACAAACACGGTATCCAGCAAAAAGTCCAAGCAATGGGCCCTTTGGTTGGTTGGCACGGTTTGGTTGAAAAAGAAATGCAATGGCAAGGTTTTTTTAGCCACTTGAATGGATATTTAGAGAGTCTTTGTTTTGCAAGTGGAGCCTCGCTTTGGAATTCAATATGGCCATGCCGTGCAAAGCGCGAATACTATTAAAATGGAAATGACAACCTGAAGTTATTTCAACTGATTGCTGTTGAGTTTCCCGATAAATATAGCACACTCTACGGGATGAATGGCCATGCATGATACATAAATGAGGTTACACACCATAAATCTTGAAGGATTTCATTTAGCATGGACACAGCCATTTTGCAAGCACATAGGTGGGGGAATGGGAGAAAGAACTTCGCATACCAGCTCTGTGTACAACTACTGCCAATAGTCAGGGCTGCCCTTAAACATGATGCATTAAGTTCAGTGCACACAGTCGTGTCTAAAAAGACAGACATGCTACATTCTTTGCACAAAAATGGCCACCAAAAAAAGCAGCGTTTTTGTTGTAACTGTGTAAGGGCAACCTGATTAGAGGTTCCACAGAGCAGATACATAATACTGACAGCACAGACTTGAACATTTTCAGAAACTGAAATACACCAAAACTACAATGATGTGCATAAATGAAAACAATGCAAATTTCTTTTCAGGAGAGGATAGCATACATGTAAGATGACTGGCACCCTTTTCAAAAAAAACCTAGCCAACCGAAGTGAAAAGCAGGGACCAGACTAAAGTTACTTAATCTAGATGTGCCCCGGAAAGACATTGTTATAAAAACATGAGCAAATTTTGCTTGGCCCCAAGGAAACTGCATTCAACACTTGGCATTCCACTTCTGTATTTCCTGCACCTGAAGGGTGAGCCTTCTGTCTTCTGGCTGACTGACTGACTCCCCGACTGACTCCCCGAGTATATATAATGTACTAAACTATGACTTTCCAGTCCAGCTTGAGGTTAGGCAAGCCCAGTCAATTGTTTTGGTAAAACTTGAATAATTTAATTCCTCAAAATAATCAACTTCCCCTTTCATTTACCTCCCCGCAACAATTTCAGCTTACAATACTTTGGTCGGATTTCAAAGCCTGCAATGACCTGCCCAAACCTTGTCAGGCACTGCAAACCAACATAAACTATTTCACGTGCTCCAACATGCAAAAATGTACCGTATTAAACCCATAATTCCAGCTAGTACCCAGTAAAAGGCAGACCAAGTTTGGCCTAGACCACACGGCAAAAGGCCAAGTACAAAATTAAACTCAGCAGCCCGAAAAACCACAGCGGAAAGGCCCCAGCAGCTTGACAGGGGTTAGTACTGCGGCAGCACTGGTGGTCCGTCTACCAGACTATGTCTGAGCCTCGAAATAGGGGTTGACGTAGCTGAAGCCGGCAAAATCGTCCTCGTTCAGGGCTCTGATAATCATTTGATCGGTAGGGGTTAGTGTCACCGGGTTGTTGGTGAAATAGGGGTCAAAATTTTCAGCGTCCCTGGAGGATTTCTGTCACAGAAAACAAACAAAAGCGGGAAAAGAAAAAAAAATACACAAGTAGGGGAGAGACATAAATGGTGTTGAAGAGGGGGGGGGGGGGGGTTACCAATACAAATATGTGATACCAGTACTTAAACCACTGGGATACATGGACAATCAACATGGGGAACCAGTGCTGTTTGGGTACCGATTGACAGGACAGGGTTGAACTGCTTGAGTGAGGCTTCAAATTGCCAAAGAAACATAGTCGGGAATCATTTTCAAAACTCTTTTACCAATTCTCAAACTCTGGAAACCATGCCAAAAGCTATAAAGCTCTCAGCTCAAAACCAAACTTTATTTGGAAGGATTACATGTATACTGTAGCATTTTAAAAGTGGTTAAGTGAATCATCATTTACAATCTTGATGAATGATCTAGAAGCAGTCGTGAAATTGGCATTAAGATGCATTTTTTTTTTTTTGAAGCTGTTGCCATCATCAACCAAAAAGATAACAACTGCTTCAAAATGTTTGATAATTCAGTTCCTAGGTACAATTTGAAGCAGCAAACTCATGATAGTCCTGGGGTTCTCAAGTAGTACAGGGAGACATACTTGGGCAAAGTTAGGCCTTTTATGTAGAGAACTCCAAAATAAAAATGAAAGAGAACTGCATTTTTTGACAGACTTTTCCTGGCTTTACCAATCAAGAGCTAATAGCCCAATGTTTGAAGAATTTCTTTTGTAAAGAACAAAGGAACATAGCAAGCGCGACTTGGCCCAAGTAGGCTGAAGGGGAAACTGCAGAATTTAAGATATTAAAAAGAAAAGCGATTTCTAAGAACTAGCTAGGGGAGGGGGTGGGGCAGGCATCCAGCTACCAAACTTACAGGTTATAAAAGGGGTATATGTGCTGACAATCAGGGGATAAAACACTGGAACGTTTTTCTACCAAGGGCACAAAAAAAATAACTCCGAAAACGGGGGAGGAGTGTCTGTCTACAAAATGATATCACCAAACTTGGCCAAGACATATGAGGAGTGTTGTAGTTCAGACCTTGTCAAAGTTCCAAGCAATAAAATTTCAAAAGCTGAGGGTTTCGAATATGTTCCAAAGTTAGGTTAATTCGAGTTTAAATTTCCAGTTGTCCACTCAAATGAACATCAAGTCTTCTCCATCACTGTTATAAGATTATGTCTACGAATGCACTTTGTCAGGGACTGAAAAGAACCGGGGAAACTCAACGCTTCTGACAGTATGCTCTGCCCGTCGTCGGTTCAGTGTGTCCTGACGACAGACAAGAGTACACAGGGTGAGTAAAACAAAACAAAACCCAAATGTCAGGACTATTGTTTCAGTGAAGTTCTGCATGTAGCACTTTCAAAATCTAGGAAATGAAAGCCAAATTCATAAGCTTTCTTTTAGTACAAGAATCATTCAAATCACTCATGTACTTTTCAAGTTACAGAATTTTAAACACAACCACCGTTTTAAGGTTCGGTCCGAGGATCACAAAAAAGTGTGTGTTCTTTCAGCAGAACAAAAACAATTCACACACGTCCCTATGTGATTTTCTTTCGTTTTGCTGAAAGAACACTGAACTTTTTTGGGATCCGTGGACAGAACCTTTAAACGGTGGTTGTGTTTAAAAATTCCGTAACTTGAAAAGTACATGAGTGATTTGAATGATTCTTGTACTAAAAGAAAGCTTACGAATTGGGCTTTCATATCCTGGATTTCGAAAAAGCTACATGCAGAACTTCCCTAAAACAGTGGTCCCAACATTTGGGGTGTTGTATTTTTACTCACCCTGTACTGTCCCAAACGTTGAGTTTTTCCCGGTCCTTTGCAGAGCCTCACAAACTCACAAAAGAGATTTCTCACATGGTGCTACCGTAAACTTTATCTTATTGTTATTTTCACCATGCAAACCTTCAAATCTTATTCATCGATGTTAGCGACTAGAACTTAGACAAGGACCAAACCACAACACTGATACGAATATGGTTACAAGTAGGAATTTTGGAGTGCGCTCACAACACGATGGCACTATCACATCAGTGGTTATGCACCACAACTGTTCTTGTGTAGGGGATGCGTTTGGTAGCACATTAGTGTCATGAAATACCACATGAGTATACAACTGTGAACAGGAGCGAAAATCAATGCTTCTTCTAATCTAAAGGGGGGGGGGGTTCCAATTAAAATGATCGAGGTGGTTGGCAAAAACACATGCATGGATTTGTAACTACATGAAAGCACCCTCTATCTTTTTTTTAATGGGTTAAGATGTAGAAAAGAGAGCAATTTACCGATTTCTGAGAGTTTGTAAATCTGGTCTACTTGATAGGGAATAAACTACCAGCAGTTGTTAAACTACGCATTTGTAAACTATGTATGGATGTAAGAAAACAACTACTTAATTCTCATTAAAAATATGATGGGTTTTCTATCGAATTTGAAGTAATTTTAAAGTTGAACAAAGACATTGACTGGAGTGGAGTTTGAACCTGCTACCTCCGGATTGCCGTTCCAGTGCTCTACCAACTGAGCTATCCAGCCCTATGTTGGCTGGTCCCCATTTTGTCAATGTCTTTGTTCAGCAGGCACTTTGAAGTAACTGTAATACGAGGTTTCCTATCTTAAATTATTGGTACTGCTTTCCAAGAGCCTGTGACAAACTTGTCCCCCAAAGCTACCAGTGCGGGATTAGAACCCAAGACTCCCTGCTTGTGAGACATCTGCACTGACAAGCAGAAAGTTAGGGTTCACATCCAACCCAAGTAGCCCCAGTCACGTTTTCTCACAGCCTCAAGGAAAGCACATTGGGTTACGTAACCTTTTTACAATATTACATTAGATCTATACAGAGCCATTAGCCTTTAACAAATATGGCCGACACAACAGGAGTTTACTATTTGGAGCGGGGTCAACCCTTTTTTGTATTTACTCCAATTTAACGAACATCAAATAGCGTTCTCATATTGTGTCGGCCATACTTCAAAAAGGCTAATTTTAATATCAGGCACAACCTCGTATCCATGGGTACGATCTTACTGCGCCATATTGGTTCCCACTATGCCTTGCGCAATCTTAACCCCTGGTATTTTGTAATGTAAATCTTGCACTACTTGGGAGATTTAAATTAGGACTGCAGTCGATGTGTTGAAAGCGTGACGCAGTGCTTTTCTATTTTTTAGAATCAGTTCTTTTTTTCAAAGATGAGGCTTTGACGTCGCGTTGCCAGAATTTATAATGTGAATACTTTTGTCATCACACAAGATACAGGTTTTTTTTTTGGCCAAAAAAACCCGAGGCTTCCAGACTTTCCATATAGTGGAGACATCGCGCACAGTCGAAAAAAATGTTCATACGTGAAGTGACGTGCAGGAGATAATGCAAGCGCATATAGTGCTAGCAGCCTTCAAAATATGCGGGCAGTACTCTCTGAATCAGCGTCGTTTTTGTATTCCACACGGCCAGGGGTTAGTGAAGGAACGCGCACGCAGCCTATGGAGTCGAGGTTGTATCACGCAGGATCAACTATTCATGATATAAATTACGTAGAGACAGAAGAAATGAGAAAAGGAATGATTCAATACAGAAAAGACGGAAGAAAACCAAGATATCAAAGAAAGAAAACACTGGAAGAATTTAAAGAGACAAAGACGGAAGACAAAGATGGAAGGACAACTTACAATTTTGGGGACGAAGGGCGGTTGAACCTCTCTATCGACCAGCTTGCCCCAGTCGATACGTCTGAAGAAGGGATGCTCCTGAATGTCCTTGCTGGCATTGGGACCACTACCTAGCCTCTTAGCGGGATGCTTGGTCAGAAACTGGACAGTCATACCAAACAAATAAAGCAAGGAATTGGGGCTTAAAGTAAGAGTCAATTATCATTTATCAGTGTTGTAGTGGAGACCCTCACAAGTCCATTCACAAGGCCAGTCACAAGTAACAGGGCATCAAAAAATGACAAAGGAATGCCTTTGTTGCAGCTCATTTGAATAGCTTGTGAGTTGAGTTGGGACTGGAGGTCTTGTGTTGGTCTTGTGATGGCCTTGCAGGGTCTCGACTACAACACAGTCATTTATTTGTTTCATACAGGTGCTCCTGTCTAACTCCACCTGTGCTGACTACAGTTGACCCTTATAGATTTGGTTCCAGATATGTGGACTTCAAGTATGGATTTACCTTTCGCTAGATGCTTGAGTTGTTCCAAATAAGTGAAACAGTTGATCTCTGGACGAGTTAGACATTAACAGCAAATTGTATGTTGCATGTGAAGTTGGTCCTAACCGTTTCAAATGGCGATCCCAATTTTAGTCTTCGGGGTTAAAAGTTAATTCAGCACAGCTATAAGATGCCAGTCTGGAACAGATGTTATTCAACCACAAGTCAATCTCAAGCCACCTGGGCCAAATTTCATAGCTCTGCTAAGCACACGATTTTCTGCAAACAGAGCCTCTGTCTGTTTCATGGAGACCGTAAGCAGTAAGCGCAGCAAAAGGCACGCTTACGGTACCTGCGAGGAAAACGTTGCTTAAATCAGTGATGTAACAATAGAAATCTCCATGCGCACACAACTGTTAGCTACATCCTGAAATAGTGCTGAAGGTTAGGACAATGTTCTTTTAACTGTTAAGCAGTGCCATGAAATTTGCCCATGGTTGCAAGTCACTTGTGCTTTGACTTGTGTTTGGACCTGTTTTGACTTGTGCTTTGACTTGTGTTTGGACCTGTTTTGACAAGTAATGGAAACCAGAGAACAGCAATAAGCAAATTAATTCTGTGCTGAGCAGCTCTCAGTAATTGATCCCCAGTTATTTGCCACACACTCACCCCTTTACAGATGGAGATAGCCTCTTTGGACATGGACTTGGGGTAGGATACGTTGTGCTCCATGATGGACTGGAATAACTCGTCTTCATCTTCACCGTCAAACGGGGGCTGAAGAAAATAAACATACAACAAAACAGTAAGTAGATAAAACAGCCTAGAACCACAAGATGAAGGCATCAGTAATGGTAGGCATCAACGCACCATCCCCCATTTGGTCATATAAGCCCCACCCACCTTTGGTCTGTGTATTTTCTCACAGTGCTTGCGACTGAATCTGAACTAGACTGTAGACCTGACCTCATAACACACGCTGTACACGAGGACAGGCAACGGCCTCACGCTTCTGCTACCTTGTCGTCTTGGCTGTGCACCTTCCCCTAAAGGTTGATTGGCCTACTTCTCCACCACACACATGCGCCACGCTCAACAGATATTTAAATTGGGTTGACCCCTATGTCATGGGTCGATCTGACAATCAACGCACTGGGCGGTATCAGATTTTCAATAACCAGTCATGGTCCGCCATTTTGAGTCTGTGTTAGACTAAGCTTCACTCAGCTACCATGGTCAGCTGATAAAATGTCGCTATGTGATTGGACAAAAACCCAGCTACCGTGGTCACCTGATCAAATGTTGCTATGTGATTGGACGATGCGCACGGTTTGATTGACAGGCATGGATGGGTTCCATAAAGAGTGTGCAAACAGTTTACAGAACAACTGCAGAATTCTGCGCTATAATTAGTACCAGCAAGTCTGCATACTAGCCAGTCTCTACTCTTGGGTACAGAATTGATTCTCTTAATTAGACAAATATTTAGAAACATAGAAGAATATTTAGAAACAATCTACTATGTACCAATGTACATTAGCTTATCTTCTTCAGCTTGCGTCCATCTTGTGGTGAAATTTCGACTTGCCATTATGAAAAGAGCTAATAAATAACGCACGGGATTAAACTATCTGCCGAGTCCTTAACCTAATTACTGATGGAAAATTTGCAAATTACGATCGGCCATCAGACAAAATGGATTGGATCCCTGGCTACATGGCATATACGGGTTATGGATTCTGACAAAATGGGGAACCGCCAACGTAGGGCTGGATAGCTCAGTTGGTAGAGCACCGCAACGGCAATCCGGAGGTCACAGATTCAAACCCAGTTCCAGTCAATTTCTCTGTTCAACTTATAAAAATGGACTTGCTCAGTCAAATTTGGTACTGGAAGTGTTCAGTGACAAATCAACATTGTTCTGGTTTACATTTTGTCAGAGCAGTTTATTTCACCCTCTGAGATGCATTTGTTAATAAACGCTATGAAGCACATTAACGTATAATTCCACGATGGCCAATGTAATATCTACTTTACCTGGCCCGCTAGCATTTCATACAGTAGTACACCGTAGGCCCACCAGTCCACAGCCTTCCCATAAGGCTGTAAGGCAACAATCTGAACACAGAATACAAAAAAACTCTGGTCAGTATATACACAAGATATAAGACGCTCTCTCTCCTTACACATCTCAAACACCTCAATTTTCCAAGCAAATATTGTTTTTGGGAGGGAATATGTTTCAACCCTTTTTCAAATTGGACCTGTTGTAGAGAAGGCATCCAATATAGGCACACACGCTGTTTCCGGGTATGATAATACCGGACATTACAACACTGTTCCCATAATTAACACGGGCATTTTTGTAAATCCGGACGTACATTAATAGCTTTAATGAGCTGCCATTGGAAAATTGAATGTTATACATCACTAATAATGTGACATCTAATGAGTAGAAAACAATTACAGACCAAACTAAGGTACCACCACCCTTAATGACCTTGAACATGTACATCATGTGGTCGGACGTATGTTGGATTTTATGCAATTGCCCACATCCAAAATATACTCATGGAACACATTCTGGGTATCCCCTCAAAAAATGTAGTCCTAGGATCAGACTACTTGCAAGTAAGTTTTATGCCACACGGGGCACAAGCTAATCGGAGCCACCTTTAAAAGTCGTGACATCACTTAGAGCAGCAATTTGGCCAAACCTATTGACTGTTCAATAGCTCCCTGTAATTCTCATACCACATTGGGTTACTGAAGACACGATTAGAAGGCACCCACTGATTGGTCAGAATCTGGAGGTCAAGACGCAGTGCTATTTTGCATAATCTGCATGCATATCAAAGCGTCTATTCCATAGAATATGTGCTGAGCATGGAAAAGGTGAGAACCAAGCACCAGCAATAGGCATCCTATGATAATATGACTGGTGACCTGTTTTTGCTAAGCAGTTTTTTGGGTGCTTAATATTTGTTGAGCTAATCAGCCCAATGAAGTTCCTCCCTAGTTTTATCCCATTTGTAAGTGTATTCAGTCAAGTCTGGTACCCTGTTCCCCGTTGCCATGCTACCCACCTCCGGTGCAATGTAGTCCGGCGTCCCACAGAACGTTCTAGTGGTCTTCTCCTCTGTCATGTCCTCTTTACACATGCCAAAGTCGGCGATCTTGATGTGGCCCTCCGAGTCCAAGAGAACGTTGTCCAGCTTCAGGTCCCGGTACACCACGCCTTTGCTGTGCATGTACAGAATACCTATGCATATCTCGGCTGCGTAGAATCTGCAAAGAAAAAAAAAAGAAGGACAACATTTAATCAAGAGAGACCCTCACAGTGGCCCCCAGCAATGGTGGAAGTATTGTGCCAGCTATTGTACAAACCAACCACTCCATGGAGATTACTCTGACCAATAACCTGCCACAATGCTTTCACCATTACAGGAGATTCATTGTGTCTGCAAAACCCCGACGGATAGTTCGTGTGTGATCCTGTTCCGAGTGCAGTGTTCGAAGGTCGTGTTCCCGCCGTTCGAACGCGAGAACGATATACACGTGTCAGGAACAGACCGCCTGAACTCGGCCCTTGAGTATTCTACTGAGGCTGTCACAGCACTTTTTGCCAACCTCATAATTTAATTTGGTCCTTGTCATATTTAAACAGGGTCAATATAAAAGGGTGGCATATTCAAGCCAAGCACTGAGGAAAGCCATAACATTTAGGGTTCACTCACACAGCATGCGGTTCCTTGAACTTGCCCACTTTCTGGATCTGGAACATGAGGTCGCCGCCGTTGACGTACTCCATGACGAAGTAGAGCCGGTCGGCGGTCTGAAAACAGGAATGGAGCTGGGTCAGGAATAGAGGTTTGCTCTCCAGGGCCAGGACGCGCTTCTCTGTCATGGTGCACTCGATGTCATCGTCCTGAACGATGACGTCCTTCTTGAGGACTTTGATTGCATAGAGCTCCTCTGTGCCCTTCTTCTCTGCCAGCATCACCTGGGTATGGGTGAAAGAAAAGACCGAAATTGAGTACTGTGGGATTCAAACCTGTCAACACCTGGATACACCTGGATCCAGTGAGGTGATACTGCTCCAACCGAGATTTCCAAACTACAGATGCCGTGCACGTGTACAACGTTATTTATTGGTGTAAATCGAGGATTTTCTTTTGTTCCGCTTCCATTTGCCTTTGTTTGTACTCTAACTTTTTCGCAACATCTCTCATAGGTTTTGTACACGTTTTCTAATCGAGGTCGTCCTCGATTTGGTTCCTGTCCTCGATTCACCGATGATATTGCACGTGTGTGTCCTTGATTTACACCATAAACAAAAGCCCCCTTACTGGTGACAATACACAGTGAAATCTCGAGAAGTCAAAGCAGAAGGGAACAGATAGAAAATTTGAGATATCCAAAGTTCGAGTAACGTAAAGTTCCCAATTTTTCTACGATCACGCACATATGCATATGGGTGACTGCTCTACATAATGTTCCAACACCCCTATGCTCCAATACAGCCCTATGTTCTGATACACCCCTATATTCCGACAACCCGCACATACGATTGTGTTACTCCCGGTTAAGGTTAGGTTTACTCCCGGTTAGGGTTAGGTTTACTCCCGGTTAGGGTTAGGTTTACTCCCGATTAGGGTTAGGGTTAAGGTTAGGGATAGGAATATGTGCAGTCGGAACATAGGTGTGTCAGAACATAGGTGTGCAACCTGCACATGTGTACAATGTACATGAATGGCTTTCAAAATACGACAGAAATTAATAGCCTCTTTGTTGCTTTTTGATACCCGAGTTTTGGTTTATTGAATACGGTCTTGGGAGATTTCGTAACTTAACCCCATGCGCACGGGAAGCGGTCATGGCCGCGGCCGCTAATCCTCATTGGAATGCAGTTGCCAGCTGTGGTATGCCGTGGCACACGGCTAGTGGGTAGTTCCACAGCTGCTGCTTTTGTGCAGTCCCGCTACCACACAAAGGCTGTGCAGTCATGCGGGCCACTTGCTCTATGTGTGGAGGAATGTCCCCATTACACCCCGTCCTTAAGGGGTTAACAAAAGAATTTGCTTCTTCTGTGACCTAATTAAGCAAGTTTATTTCTGCAACTGGTGATTTTGAGTTTGACTTAACCGTTTTTTCCGGTCCGATATTTTGAGTTAGCACGGGCATGTTTAAACATGGTTTGCTACTGTTTTGATTGAAATAAGTTCCGTCTGTGAAATATGTATTGTAGACATGGCCAAAAACTCCTGCAGCATCAGGTGCATCAAACAGGGCTTTCAAAATTGTCTTCGTAAATGTAAGACATTATGTGGATTTCTTGTGATGCAAACCTTTGAAATAAGGCAAGTAAACAATGTAAAACATGGTGTTTTTTTTTATGAAATCTGGTGGAATGTGTGCCTTGAAAGCAGCTTGTCTTGGTCTCTCACCTTGCCAAAGCTGCCTTTACCGAGTACTGTGATGAAGTTGAAATCGCTGGCCCGCACCATGTCACCGGTGTGTGTTAGGGATACATCCTTCTTGAGGGACAGTTTGTTTTCAAAGTTACTGGATATCTTCTCTTGCTGTAAAAAAGAAAACAGACGGTGAAAAACATGATTTGATGTTGGCACTTCATGCATTCTGTGAAACTACTAATTTTTCATGATTTTTTTTATTATCCCAACCGGAGTGTGATTTTAGGCAGTTTGCTAGGAGAAATGGGTCACTCTTGCAGTAACTCGTTATTACACCAAACATTTTCTAAACAAATTGCAACCGAACTTAAGAATTATGAATAGGTTATAAGACACTAGCTTTGGTAGGATTACCTAATGCCCTGATAATGAGCTTTCTTGTTAGTTCTTTTTTTTGGGACAAAATGTTACTTTCTTTTCTTGGCATATCTCCATTCTGGGTTCTAAACCCGTATATTACGTGAACTTGGTACACCAGCCCTTCACCAAAGCCCTGGATTTTGACCAAAGATGTTACAAGTTTCCCCATCTCTAAATCTGAGCCTTTCTAAATTATCTCAAACATCCCACGAAACAGAGCGCAAGACACCTCAAAGGTCTAAAACACCCAAGGACTGACGATCCAAACCAAATGGCAGTGCCCTTAACCTTAACCTCTTATTACAGGATTTAATGAAGGACTTTTTATTGATTCGAGTCAACCCGTCCACTTCCCCTGAATTCAAGGGCTTAAAATCTGAACCTGAAGTTTTTGACAAACCCTCAAAGGCCGATGATAAGGACTCAACGATTACAAAGGAAGAGAGTAAAACTGTCTTGCCGCAGAATCCATACCTTTCTCCTCTCTTGAAGTTCACTGATGCTGATATCCTCAGCCACAGCCGGGACGTTGTAGTATTCCCCCTCGTCCTGGTTTAGCATCTTGAACCAGCCGTCCACGCCGTTCTTCATCAGCTCCGACACGCCGAAGGACATGGAGCCCATGAAGTCATTGCGGGAGGTCCGGTCCCAGTCCCAGACCTCGATGAGTAATCTGCGGGTCTTGTCCTCTTCCTTGAGTTTGCTGGGGGGGGGGGGGGAGGGGAGAGAGATGAGAAAAAAATATGAGGGGATGATAGCATCATACAGATAATGCTATCTTGAGAATTAGGTTCTTGTAAGGAGCAATGCCACTTTCCCTTACCAATGACCAAAGCCTTAGTTATGGCATACAGGCTGCCCACAAGCTATAATTTCTTAACTAACGTGAAATATGCCCAACCATTTAGTGCAGCCTTTTCTGTTATAGTTAGGGACAATTTTTCACCTACTTATAAAACCATGAAACTGTGGTCTGGTTTTGTTTGAGAAGGGTTTTACTTAAACAGTTCACGTCGGATGACGTGTATACACACAAAGGTTTTGCGGTATTCAGAACAGATGACAGATAAACATGCAACGAGCGAGGCCGGAAATATCTGTCTGCGACCTGCTCGCAGCGAGCGAGGCCCGAAATATCAGGGTGTGCTACCCGCAGATGACGGCCTGAACCCGTCTGGCATCGAGGTTCATGAAAAACAATCCCACGCCTGGGTCCGATGAATGTCAAAATAATCCCGGCGTTAAGTGGAGTTATTTTTTATTCTACAACAGACACATTCCAGCTGGCAGAAGCAATGAATTTGCGAGTCTGAAACTCGCTCATTTTCTCACTGAATACTCACAGCGAGAATCACATGACCATCAGCTCGAGGTCTGAATCTCCTTGTACCCCCCCCCCCCCCCACACCGCTCCCCCTCCCCTAGAATTTGAGGAAGGCAGGAAAAATTTCCAATCTTAAAAATCAATTGAGTGCCCCTCCAAAAAATCACCTCTCCCCTTATCAGGTCCCCTGAAAATTAGATCTCAGTCAAACCACTGGAAGTATTTACTCAAGTATTCAACTGACACTCATCAAACTGTGAGGAGCCAAAGGGGACTCACAAAGTGAAGCTCTCATTGAAGTCGGGGTTGAGGGTTCCCTTGATCTTCTTGGACTTCTTCTTGCTCTTGCCGTGGGCATCCGGGATCAGTTTCAGCTTGACGTAAGGGTCCGACAGGCCGTTGGGATCCATGGGGATCAGGTTTTTGGCCGATACAACTGCGAGGAACGATAAAAGAAGGCTTGGGATGAGTTTTACACATTACAGACTCCATGCCCAAGTACCCCCTCAACAGTTTGAAAAGGGAGAGTTGGGGGAGACCACCGGGAGAGACATTGAAACGCATTGCCGACGCCGCCCGACGCTCACGCGGAGACGCTATGGTTTTGCGCACATCCAGAATAGAAGAAGTCTTGCGTACTTTGCACTATATGCCTGCAAACCAGTACACTAACATGGTGAGTCCCATCCAAGGGCTCCCAAAAGTGATAAAAAGCGCCCTCTCTTGTTCATGTATGGAGCCCATAACTAATGGAGATATATGTGCCTCTGAACTTGACCAAAATGGTGGGACAACGATCTCGATTCCATTTTTTAATGGTCCTTTTGGGAACCTCAGGGTGATGTTGTTGTGATGTTAAACTATGGTACGTACTCAAAACCCTCTACAGTGTACAGGGAAGTTTTATAATTATGTGCCGAAAATCTTGTTCACAGAAGGGAAACCAGGGAGTGGTGTACGGAGTGCACAAAAATGTAAAATGTTTGAACTGCAAAACAAATCCTTAATGCTGATTGGTCAATAGGCCATATTTTTTGGGCGATTGAGGGGGCTGACATTTCTGGGTACAACACCAGAACATTTTGTTCAGTAAAGCAGTTCAGAACTGTTTAAACAATTAAAGATGGTACTACAAATGAATTTTTTTGATAGTAGCAACATGTAAACTTTCAATGGTAACCAAGGATGCAAGTCTGTTCATACCTCCAAAATGGCGTCATAACAGCCTATTAATACCTCCTCTGCGTCTCAGTCAGGTTTTCTATCAACATTCAAAAGTTCCCCCCAATCCCCTTTCAGCTGTTACCATGACTACTACCTTCTTGTTATAAATGACATCATCAACGAACTCAGTCACGGTTAACACAAACACCAACCGCGCCGAGGATAAAACATTGCTTGAGTGAAGTCAACACGACAAAATCCCCGGGATAAGACGGTCTGAGAGTCACCGGACTATCTGTTTGCTTCCGCATCACCGGGGATCCTTCTCAGCTTTAGCCGTTGTAGATTTTCCGCCGAGCAAACCCCCAACCAAATTAACCAAGTCTTGTTTTCCTTTTCTTTCCCAGCTTAGGGCTTTATCCCTCGGCAAACGAATTCTCCTTCCCGGTCGTGCAACTGGTCGCGTGGCTTTGACGGCAAGGTTATTACATTGGGCATGCAGATCGGCATTATTGGCCATGGGTGTTTGGAGATGCCCAGCGGTGATTGTGGCTGATGGCCGTTGGGGATTCTTCGGCCGAGGGACGCTCCACTGCCGCTAAATCCTTGCGGTCAAGGATTGCTGGAGAGACGGTTTTGTGAACATAGGATCACGTCCGCAAGTCCACAATACGGTGGGAAGTTGTGTGCGGGACTTCTATTTTATCTTCTTCTTTTTTTCAAGGAAATGATGTGTGATAAGGTCTACAAGTCCAAAACGTAAGGGTTGTATGTACGGTAGGAATGAGTATTTTGTAAATTTGTTTTCTTTCAAGGAACGCTGTTTTATCAGGTCCAAATCAAATATAGACTTGTGCATTGGACCATGGGCGTCGCCAGGATTTTTTCTAGAGGGGGGCAAAAAAATGCTTGTACATTTTGTATTTCTCGACACATTCTCGATTTATCAGTTTTAGAGGGGGGCAGGGACATTTTGCCCCCCCCCCCCAACTCATTAAATTTACACCACTTTGTCTTCACGCCTCTTTTTTATTTTTTTCCTCTTTTTTTTTTTTTTTTTTTGCTTTTCCAGGGGGGGGGGGGGGCAAGTGCCCCCCTTGCCCCCCCCCCTCGCGACGCCCATGCATGGGACCTTCTATTCTGAATGTTTTCAAGATACATTTGTCCAATCAAAGTCCACAGATCAGATAGGCCTGAGATGTAAGTAGGGTTTTTAGGGTTTTTCCGAATATACCGAATAGTCCAATATTCGATCTTCAACTGAATATTCCAATAGCTTCGTGCTGGTTTGAATATTAGGGGAGAAAAAACTAAGCACATACATGACTGTGATGTTATTTATCGTAAAGTTGCGACACTTTATTGAAAGGAGTCAATTTTTTTGACGACTGTAACTTTTTTTGGTCGACGGCGGTTCATTGTTCACATCTTTTTAGCGGGTTAAAGCCCTTTTACCATTATAAAATACAAACTGCAAAACACTCTAGAGCCCCATATCAACTGCCACACGCAAACAAACATGGCGGCGTAAATAATGTGTGCGGTGAACGATTGACACTCCTGAAGTCACAGCGGACTGACATTCTTATAAATGGATGGATAGCTCAAATTCCCCGAAACATCAATCATCATTCTAGGTAGGTCATGTCTCATTGTATTTTGGAGAAGGATCTTATAAATCTAAAGCCAAAAAACCTTTGGCCGAACTTAAGTTTCCCTTTTAGTTTAATACGGCTGGATAGCTCAGTTGGTAGAGCACCGGACCGGCAATCTGAAGCTTGCAGGTTCAAATCCCGCTCCAGTAGATTTATTTGTTCAAATTTAAATTGGGGGGGGGGGGGGAACTTACCCTCGACTCGAAGTTCAGAGCCATCGCATTTGATTTTCAGCTCGATACGTCCACGGCGCTCCGTGTGGTCTGATCCACATAGGTTGGGGACCAACTTCTCACATCGTTTATGCACGTTCATCTCACATGCTGCATGAAAGATAGAAAGGGGAGACCAAAAAGGGGAAAATATTTTAAATATAAGATAAAAATCGTAAAGGTTGGTGATTTCTGAAGATTTTAGTTAAAGCATGAAAACAAGTAAAATCAGCCAAAATTTCTAAACACAATGGTTGGGCTGGTTAAAAAAAACAATTTTGTATTAGGCCTATAGTTTCAAATCTTCATGAAAAAATGCAAAAATGTTTGAAACAAGGGCATTGCAAATATGGGTACAGTTACCCAGGTACACTATATCCCACCAACATGGCCGGTTAACGGCTTCAAATTGTTCAGTTTTATTATTAAGCACAACATTAGGCTCTCTCAGGCTTAACTTGGAAATAGTTTTGAATTGTTGTCTCAATCTTGGAAAGAATTGTTGTCTCAAAGTGATTATTGACAATGATAAAACTTCAAGTAAAATACAGTGGCTGAGCTTCAGCTCTACACCCATCCACATACTAGTATGTTTTGTATGTCCGTCTGTATAGTTTATTAAGTTTATGTCCACTTCGTTTGTTTGTCTGTTTCTGTTTTCATTGTTTTGTTGTGTTTTGTCTTTGAATTTAGTCTTCCTTTTTCAGTATTGTTTATATGTATATATATATTTTTTGTTGTGTTTAAGGCATTCCGTTTATAAGCTCCGGCTTCTTGTGTAAAGCCTCCACTTAGTAGTTTTTATGTAACATTTGTTTTGTTTTGTTTTCTAAAGTGCTTATTCATGTGGAAATAAATGTTTCTGAAATGAAAAAATGAAAATACAGCATAGTCACATGTTGGACGTGGGGCTGATATCAGATTGAAGATATTTTTGTTTCTATTTATTTATATTTTTTTACAGGAAATTCTTATGTTATATCTTATAATCTATGAATTAATTTGTTTTTCCTGAGGGAGGAATTTGGAGTTCAGTGCTACTTTTTATTATGATTAAGGGTTAGATTTGCGTGTTTTCTTTGATTTCGTTTTTATGATTATAATTTTTTTTTAACTTAAAGAGCTCAGTGAATAACCTGAAATGTATTTCTCAAATCTTATACATCCATCATCTAGGAATGGTCAAGGAGACTACGGACTAGGAGTTTTGGATCATTTCTCTGAATCATTAATTAGATATCATGGTTAATCCACTGTCATGGACATTACATTCCCTTTCATAATGCTGTTCTCAAAACAACATCCTAAGGTCAACACAAAACAAGGATGGCAGTGAAGCCTTATCAAGTGCATTTATCTCAAGTCTCCCAGCATTCTTAGTCAAAACAAAACAACCTGCTGGTGATGTTTTTCTTGTTTTCTTCCTTCGAGGAGATGTAAATTTCAATAGTGGCTTTTTGCCCGATAAGGTCGGCGAACAGGCAAAAACCGCTATTGAAACCTGCATGTAACGTGCACGCTGAAAATTTACAACAAATATTTCCCCTGACGTTATTATAGATCAGTGCATTAGTGCAACCAATCTGCTCTGTACAAATTATTCATGCTCCGTTTCCAGGAACACGCCGGTTCCTTGAGTAATGGCAACTCCATGGAGAGATGACGCGAGGCAAACCGTGCATTCTCTTAACTCGGGCATGTTGTGTCGTGTCCCCCCCCCCCCCCCCCCCCCCCCCCCCCCCCCCCCCCCCCCCCCCCCCCCCCGAGAGTGAAAAAACGGACGTGATGGTGACATGAATGCATGCACATCTCCCACGCCCCTGGGCCCGCAACAATTATTACATTATTCCATTAATCGATCCTTGCGCTGGATATTCGGTTACATGTTCTGTTTTGATTAATCGAAAAACCTCACTGTGAAAAATTATAAAGGCTTTCGCTGAAAAGCCGCAAGAACGTACGTAAAAAAACAAATCATTCCAAAAGCCGGAAAAATGATTTAACAATTTCATGCACGAAAGTAGAACAAACACAATAGTGGACAAACTTGGTAAAAGAAATGCTGAAGCAAAACGATCTGAAGAATGGAGGCAAACAGACCTTCTGTTGCCAGCGTTGTGAAGATGGGGTGAAACCCAACAACACTACGAGGCCTGACTGTGATTTTCATGAACATTTTCAGTTTCAAAAATAAATCTGCTGTATAATTAATACAAACTTATGAAAATGATTTTTGGCTCATTAAAAACACATTTGTAAATCCGCTGTTCAATTAATCAAAACCTAAATGAAAATTACATGTAATCGTTCAAAGATCCGAATCATTCCCTTTGCAGGCCCATCTCTCCCCTCCCCCCCCCCCCACACCCCAGATCAGAAGAGTTTTCATCCAGCTTTTCGCCACGCTCCACTGGCACATAATGCAACGTCCTTATCGCAGCCACTCTCCATGCCAAAAAAAAAAAGAAGGTGTTAGCTAATTTCCCAATTAAGCCGCCATTAAGGACGGGATGAGGACGGAAAGGTGTCCGATGGTGTGATGATGGGGGGGACGTGTGTCTGCTCACCGTCGGTGCCGATTTAGTGGAATTAAGATCGGTATCGGTACCAGTCTTGTTTGGCTTAAAGGTGCACTTTTCAGAGAACACACCCAATTGGGCTCAAAACATGTTTACATCGAAATGGTATTAGTTGCAAAGATCGTCAAAATTCATAATAGGAGCATTCACACAATTATACCATGAAAAACTGCTGCTTTCTCACATTCGGAGCGAGTTTACCCAAATTTGGCCGCTCCACTGAATTAGCACCTCCAATTGTGTCTCAATGCTAACAGAAATCCAACAAACGAGGTTACAGATGATATTATTTTAAAGACAATGCCAAGATATAATCTAAAATTTCATCCCAAGTTATTAGCCAAAAATGTGAATATTCTGGATCTAAGGTAAGATATGTCTGCCCCTTGGAATTTCTTACTCTACTACTGCTTCCCCCCCCCCTTCTCAAAAAATAAAAAAGATAAGAACTCATTGGTACTTTTAACTTGATATAATGTGGAAACACTCAGCGTCAATATTCATTATATGACAACATTCATTATATGACAACAGTGCCAAGCTTCATGAAGCGTAGATTTGAAAACTATAGCCAGCAGGTAATCTAATAGTTTTAAATTCTATGAGTTTGAACTATGAAATAATAAGACAAGATTTCAACAAAATAACAGTGCTCTATCGACTGCGCTACCCAGCCATTTCCTGACAGTCTTCAAAATGATCTTTGTAAAAGCAGCGCTGGGTCAACTTCATAAACCTATGAGCATCATGCGGACAGGGATCATGCCTCGAGTCACGATGCAACAACTTCTGCAAGCCTGGGCAACGGCGATGGATCACTCGAGAGACGATTTGGCTTTTTGTTTTACGAGACCCACACATCCTCGTGAAAAGGACTCATATTACAGAGCAATCCATTATCAATATTTCTGACTATCCTAAAAGTCCCTACACTATTGCTAATCCTCCTCCGTGCTACTTCGCCCTCGTGATAAATTCTCTTCATTGCTTCTTAAATCAAGTCCCCGCATCAGTGGTAATGACACTTGTCTCCAGTCCGTAAGTGGCAATGGGGGGGGGGGGGGGGGAAGGGGGGGGGGGGCTGTCTTCAACATGCAAGGTGGATTTTAATCTGGTTCCCCACCCTAATCAATCTAAAATGCAATTTGACAAAGATGCACCATTTGCTGAGGATATACGGGCATTACTGACTGCAGGAGAATCGCATTTTGTACTGATTTATGACTTGCTCTTTTTATTAATGCGGATTTTCGACCAAGAGATTTACGGTACAATATCCCCTTGTATTGGTTAATGTACTCGCATGTGAGTGTCGTATTTATATTAAGAGGCTTAGACGCCACTTGAAGGGACAGGGTTGGTTGTTCCAATTCTTGGACAGATTATATTTGGGAGGGGGGGGGCAGGTTGGAAAATATACAGAATTAAATAAAAGCGCCCTATTTGAAACAGGGATCAGTTTTGGAAGCCATCCACAGTCTGTGGACTAAAGAGTTCAAAACTTGGAAAATACAAGCAATTCTTCCGAAATCAAAAAAAAATCATTTCCTTTTATGACAATGTACTTGATAATGTTTATCTGATATAATAATACAAATTTGTTGAGTACATTCAGAGAACCACACTGGTCTTACTTTTTGAAACTTCAGACACGCTGCAAAGAATATCACCGGAAAAGAAATTGAGATAAATTATGCTTTGGATGCCTGGATATGGATCTACCGGTACATGTACTTGTAGCAAACATAATCCGGTCTACGTGTAGATATATGTGAGTACAAAAAAAGTCCTCAGAGGCAAGACAAGACAGGAAATGGACGTCTCAAGTGTCGCTGAAAAGCACAGGAGGATTCAACGGAGGTGAACAAAAAAAACATAAATGAGACGAGTTGGACTATCCAATCCGTAACCAGCCCGGAGCAAGATGCAAACCATGGAAACCGAAGGCAAGGAGGTGCAGAATGTAAATGTGTAGGTGTATCAACCACCGCTATGTATCCTCAAATTTTGCTTTCATTCCGAAGGCGGCCATAGACGTTCTTCCGGAGAATCCACTTTAATTTTCAAGACCTGTGGAGGCTGTCGTGGCCTAATTTGGGGAGGTTTTTCCCCCGCTGAAGAGGTTTTTTTGCAAGAATAAGGTCTGCAGCGAGCACCGTGCATAAATACATTTCGACTGGAGTGTTCAGACTGACAAAACAGGTGGGGGGGGGGGGGGGGGAATGGGAATAAAGTGGTTGGATGTAACAAGCAAGTCTGAATGTGAAGGAGAGGATGGAGTGGACAGAAGATTTGAGCCAATTTCAACCTTTGCTTTAATTGTAATAAAAAATTAGGGCCCTGCTGAATATTCCAAAAATTTGAATATTAACCAAACATTTGAATATTAAGCCGGATTATTTTGACATTGACCAGACCCAGGTGTGGGATTGCTTTTCGATGCCAGACGGGTTCAGGCCGAAATCTGCGGGTAGCACACACTGATAGTTCCGGCCTTGCTTGCTGCAAGCGGGTCGCACACAGACATTTCCGGCCTCGCTCGTTGCGT